AAAAAAAAGAAAATGGTGGTGGCAACAGTGATGGTGGTGATGATGATGATGGTGATGATGGTGATTATGAAAATGGTGGTGGCAACAGTGATGGTGGTGATGATGATGACAATGGTGATGGTGGTGATGGTGATTATGAAAATGGTGGTGAAGATGGTGATGATAATAATAGTGATGATGACAATGGTGATGGTGATTATGAAAATGGTGGTGGCAACAATGATGGTGGGAAGATGATGATGATGGTGATGATGGTGATTATGAAAATGGTGGTGGTAACAGTGATGGTGGTGATGGTGATGATGGTGATTATGAAAATGGTGGTGAAGATGGTGATGATAATAATAGTGATGATGATGATGGTGATGGTGATTATGAAAATGGTGGTGGCAACAGTGATGGTGGTGATGATGATGATGGTGATGGTGATAACAGTGATAATGGTGATGATGGCAATGATGAAAAAATGGTGGTGAAGATGATGGTGACAATGGTGATAATGGTGGTGGTGATAGTGATAGCAGTGTTGGTGGTGATGATGAAGATGGTGGTGAAGATGATGGTGATGGATGGTTATAATATTGATGATAAATTAAACAAAAACACCTCATATGTCTTAGAAACAACCTGACTTACGTTGACTTTTTACACTGTCTAGATGCGGTCTCTATCAACATTGACCTTCTGTGGCGGGCAGCCTAGGAGACTTGGTAGAGCCAGCACACTGAACATTTTCCAGGATGTTATTGCAATACTAGGGACTTTACTCTTCACTTGGGGGATATTTTCTCAGGGAATATGGTACTTGCCGTCCACTGTTCCTGTTAATTACTGTGTGCTTGTATTCTTCCACCATTTCAACTGTTGTGTTATTTTCCAGGCCATGGAAGTCGTCTGTTATGTTGTCAGGCCTTCCCTAGTTCCTACCCACCACTGCTGCCCAACTGATCTTCATGAAGCAAACTCTGTGAGTGCCACGACAGCACGGAGGCCTGGCTTGATTTAACAACCAGCTTCCATTAATTTTGCTTGAAGAGCCAGGTGCACAAGAGGCTCCTCAGAGTGTTTATTCTGGGAGGGGTTGAGCCTCAGGCTGCCTTCTCAAGCGTGCTCCCTGCGAGCTGGATCAGTCCCAGGGTAGTCTGCTTGTAGGTGGTCTCGCAGACCCCCTTCCGTCTGGCCGTTTTTTGGCTAATTGTGAGAGGCAGGAGGGAGTTGAAGACGCCACTTCAGGAAGAACAAAAGGCCAATCCAACCAGTAATTGCAGGGGGCTGAGCTTACAAGATCTGCAGTGGATTTACGGTGTGCCCGGGACAGTGGAAATCCTACCTGCTCCGTGTACACAAATACTCCCAGAGCCATCAGAACATTCTAGTCAAATTTTGATATTCTAAATCATCACTTCATTATAGTGTTTGTTAATCTAAAACCCTTTTCTTTTGAGATTGATGTCAAGGTAAAGTGAGGGTAGCAATACTCTTCATAAAATTGGTCAAGTGAATATTTTATTTTTAGGGGAGAACAAAAGGAGATGGAGATAAATAATGAGAAGTCCATCCCCAGGGAGCTAAAGATTTATCTAGAAAGCAATGCATGGCTGCGACAATGGCAGAGGGGACAGAACAGGTCCAAAAATGGAAAACAGGCACAGGAGGGAGGAAATGTTTTTAAACACCAAACAAGCCTTTAAATTTCAAATTGTCTTCAAAAGGTAAATACCAGAAGGTTTACTCAGGAAATAGATGCTTCACCCTTCTATTTATTATAATAATAATACCTACAATAGCTACCACGTGGCTCTGGGGGTGAACTTTGCCTTACTTAATGATGATGATAGTGGTAATGTTAAATTATGAGGCCATTAAAACTCACTATCCTACAATGCACAAAAATTATATTTTGCATATATCTGTAACTCAGTAGGAAAATCTGAAGATAGGAATTTAAGGAATTGTATTTTAGATTTCTTGACTTCAATCTCTTAAACTGCCCTTTTATGCAATGGATGGATTTGGTTTAGAACAAACATAATAAGCTTTTATCATAAACTTATAGACAAATATAAGACATAATCCTATTTTTCTTGACATTTTGTGGGACATAGATTAGAGAATTTAACTAAGCTGTTTAATTCTTGGGAAATGGCAGCAAGAACTCAATTTGCCAGGTTATTAAAAAACCATGCCCAGAAAGAGGAACTTGTACCAAGGTGCATTACCCTAGATCCCTCACTCTTCTGTCCCATCTGGGCTCTCATCTGGGCCTTGGTTCCCGACAGGCCTCCCAGAACTTCTATGGCAGTGCAGTCATCCCCTGTGAGTCCCTCCTTGATGGGAACTAGTGTCCTTGTCAGAACCCCTACTCTGACCTGGGGATGGGCTGCACATTCTTCTGCTTGTGTGAAGAAATGTCTTTCAGGCTTTGTGTCCAAGTTGACTGAGTCAGTCCAGGAGGTTACAGGATTCAGTGGGTTTGAGTCACCTGAGCAACTCTGGCAGGCTGAGATCAAGGCCCTCAGCGTGTGGCACCTGTCATGAAGCTTTCTGCGCATGTGACACACCCTCAGAGCTTTCCTGCTTGTCCACCACAGTGCAGCTCAGGGAGACCCACCACGGAGCTCTGCTTGGCCTTTGCAGAGAACCTACCAGCCTATCCACTCCTCAAAGACTTGCACAAGGCCAGCAAGGAAATAAAGGCCCAGTCTGGACAGGAGATGACTTAAGGGGGTTCAAATGCAATGGTTTGAAACACAACTGATGCCCGGATTACAGGTCCTCAGAAACCCTAATGTTTCAGTCTTGGCCACAGAGCCTGTGGCAGGAACCTACATTTCTAAAAACTTCTCAGGGGACTCTGATAGGCCAGGTATGGAAACAACCAAATCTAACACACTCCTAATTGGCAGGCTACATGCCTCCTCAAGTATCCATGTTTACCATGTTTAAGGGCTCTAAGGAGAGCATTATGACCCATCCAGATGAGTGATTTTGAGGACAAAAACAAAGGCGGGGGATATAGAATTTCCTAAGCCATATGCATGGAGAAGTGGGGCCTGATGGCAACCCCAGGGCTCTTGGGGGGTTTCCCAGGTGCAGAGCCCTGCAGCTGGATAAGGTGGCCCTGCTCACAGGCTCAGGGAACCCTGACACCTGCTGAGCTGTGAGACCAAGAAGTCCTGGTAGAAGGCTGGTACTCGGCAGCCAGGTGAGCCAACATTGGTTCCTAAAATTCCCAAGTTAGAATTCGGCTCTTTTGTTGGCCTTTTGGTTATGTGATACTTACTTCAATAACTGTTTAAAACTATCTACAGAATTTTCTTACTACGCTCTTCTTGGTCTTCTTTCATCATTAAAGGAAGGGGGAAAAATCTAGGGCACCTGTTCAAGTTTTCAAACTTCTCTTTGACTTAGTCATGTGATAGTTAACATTTGTAGATCCTGATGCATCAGATAACTGTTGAGTGTATGTGAATGTGTATGCTTGCATGTCTGTGTCTGTGTGTTCATGTGCACACTTACGCTCATGCACATGTGTTTAAGTGTGCCCATGTGCTCACGTGCCTGTGCTTCTGTGTGCACTTGTGCTCACGTATGTGTGTGCACACATGCTCATGTGTTTGTGTGCACATATGTGTCATATATGTGCCTGTGTGCACACGTGTGTATGCATGTGTTTATGTGTGGGCACATGTTCTCATGTACGTGTGTTTATGTGCACATGTACTTATGCGGGTGTGTATTTGTGTGGGGTAGGTATGTATGTGAAAGAGGCAGAGAGAAGGAAAATTCTGGTAGAGCTGCGGGTTGACAGAGAAGTCAGCTGTGGACCCTGTGCAGAAATTTGGACCAGATGAGGTAATGAGAAAAGAATAGGCTGAAGGAACAGAACCCAGCAGGGCAATGTGCTGGCAATGGGACAGGGCAGTTTCCCAAGGGGCCAACCTGGAAAGAACCTTGGGAGGATGGAGAACTCTAGCCCGGAGTGCCCTCTGCTTTGGGATGGGCTCCTTAGACTGGAGGAAGGTATCAGAGCATGGACGGGGCTGCTCTGGGGTGTCTGTGATGTGAGCACAGTGTGATGGTGACCTGGCTCCCGGGGGTCTCCGTGTTATGAGCTTAGCATGATCATGACCTGGCTCCTGGGGTGTCTGTGATGTGAGGACAGTGTGATGGGGACCTGACTCCTGGGTGTCTGTAAAGTGAGCACAGCATGATGGTGACCTGACTCCTGGGGTGTCTGTGATGTGAGCACAGTGTAATGGTGACCTGACTCCTGGGGTGTCTGTGATGTGAGGACAGTGTGATGGTGACCTGACTGCTGGAGTGTCTGTGATGTGAGGACAGTGTGATGGGGACCTGGCTCTTTGGGCTTTACTTAGGACCTGGCCCCTGAGTAGCAGCGTGGAGTCTGGGGCTCCACAGGGTTGACCTGTGGGAGGCAGACAGTACTCACACTGACCGCTGGGATATCCTATCTGGTGCTTTCCCAGTCCCACTGCAAGCTTCTCCTGCAGAGGCTCTGTTACCATCCCTGACCTTTGCCCTCAGTCTGGTCTTGGCAGGAGCCCCTCAAAGCAAGACCTGGCCCCTCTAATCTCTGAAGGGTAGCAGAAGCACTGAATAAGTGAGAGGTGGGAAAGGGGCCTGCCCATCATGTGATCAGCATCTACAGGACCTCTCTGCGTGGAGACCAAAGACATTAGCCCTGAGCTCCTGCCCTCCTGAGCCGTGTGAGGGGTGCTGGGCTATCTCTCTAAGGTGCCTCCCAATCTGAGGACAGTAAGAATTTGGGTTTTCTCACCCTCCTAAGTGAGGAAAGGGAAAGGTTTGCTTGACCTTGGTTGCCGAGCCCATTCTGGAAACTCGAGAGCTCCCAGCTTCTGTACACTTCCAGACAACACGAGCGGGAGGTGTTTCCAGCCCTGCCCAGGGCCAGTAGTGGCCACTCAGCTACAGCAAAGTGTGAGAAAAATGCTTTATTGTTCTTCCTTTCAACACCTGTCACTTCTCAAAACACCATGAAGTAAAAGTCATTTGTGTCTGGGGTGCCCTAAGAAGGCTTTTCTGGACCTGAGATGTGGGAGGTTGGAGCTGGGTCAGCTGCAGAGGTCGCAGCTGGAGGCCAATACCCAGGGATATGGGGGCCCAGTGAGCTAGAGCTGCCCAGGGGGACAGTGGGGCTCAGGGTTCTGCAGCCCCCACTTAGTCCCCTCCTGGCTCCTACCAGGAATGTGACAGCAGGGAAAGGGGTGGGATGAGCTGGGCCAGCTCTGCTTGAGAGGGGTCCCCTCACCCCAGGCAAGGGCATCCAGGCTGGTCTTCATGACACAAACTTTCTAGGAGAAAGCAGGAAGACAGTTGCCAGTGTCTGTCTAATGGAGCAGACTGCACGACTTTACAGAATCCAGCTTGAGTATGTTCAAGGAAAATGAGCCAGGCTGCATTGCTTCCTGTCCTCTGAGGGCTGCTGGGGGAGGCTGTGCCATCTTACTGGTGGGAGAGCTGTGCCCACCTCCCCAGGGCCTCCCTGCCTGTCTCATCTTCCTCTAAAAGTCCCTGGCATTCAGTGGGCTTCCTTTCTTCATTCCTGACATTATTTATTCTCCTTTACTCTCCAAAGGACATGTAGCCGTCGCCTGGAATCCTGTTACATGCAACTGTCCCCAAAGGCTGAGTGCTGGGCCCTGAGGAAACCCTCAGGAAGCAGCAGGTGCAGCCCCCATCTGAGGGCCGAGGACAGGCTGGCACAGCATCAGGGAACCCTGTTTCCCAACTGTCCTGATCTTTAGGGCTGCCACTGCAGCCCGGAATGTGGTGGGTACTAGATCAGTTCTTGCTTTTCCTTTCTCTGTAATTAAAACATCGGGTAGCCTTCCACAGAAAGAAGTCAGAGGCCAAACCTACAGGTTTGGTGGCTGTGCTGCCTGATGCATTTCTGCTGGGGGCACCTCTTTATCAGGACCAGACCCCTCGCCATACCCGTGTGTCTAAGGTCCTCTCACAGAGGATTTGTGTGGGGTTGCGTCTGCAGGGAGTTTAGGAGACCATGTGTATGTGAGAGTGATGTGTACCTATGTAGGAACCTGCCTGCGTGTGTCATGTGCACGGGACACACATGGCCAGAGAGCCAAAGGCAGGCCAGAGGAGTGTCCCTGTCTCTTCCTTCCCTCATGGAGATGCTGACATCCTGGGAGACCCCAGAGCAGAGACTCCCTCCTACTCACAGTGTTTCTGCTCTTTGCTGGTAGAAGTAACTGGACAGGGAGGACAGGTGGGCGCTTAGCTGGGTGACACTGCAAGTGACCTGGGAAGATGCCTTTGTGGGTTCACATGCCCCATTTCATTACAAAAGCTGAGCTTTGTTCTCCCCAGTTTCCAGTGAACACAGACAGAGCGAGCCTGGCTTCCCTCCTCCCACGTGACTTCACGTGACTTCTGGATCCTTGTTCTCCTGGGACACAGGGCTTGTCTGACCCCCTAAAAGGGAGCAGAGAACTATGGCAATTGGCAATTAAGTAGCTAGTTTTAGACCTCACACTGCTTCTCTACCAGTGCTCTGGGCCTTTCAGGATCCAGTTTGGAGGTGTAGTTACCCTGCTAATCGCGGGGGCAATCCACGTCCTGCACCTCAGGGCCCCGGCCACGCTGCACACACAGCTGACGGCCTGGAACCGTCCGACATGGAGGGGAGCTTGGGCTGTTAGTTTGTTTACAAGAGGTAAAAATGTGGTCTCTTACAGTTTGTGGTGATCTCATAGGGCGAGTGCAGCCTTGCGTCTCCGCAGGGGGAGGTGCTGACATAGAGGTGGAAGAGGACAGTGTCCCGCAGCCGGTAGCCTCCCTCCTTCAGCCGCACGAAGATGGAGCGTTCTGCGTCCTCTCGCCGCTTGCTAGGGTCACAGAGGGTCCCTGTCACGTGTCACACACTGACCAGAAACACTCCAGCCTGGTGAGCTGTGGTCCTGTGATGCGGAGGCACCCTTGATCCCCCTCACCCTCCATCCTGTGTCTCTGCGCGGACACGTCTAGAACATGCAGCAGTGAAGCTGCAGAGCGACTCAGCCTGCAGAAGCCCTGCCGTCCCCCTCTGCACATTCAACCGTGGGGACCTCTCACAGAGCCAGTCGGGTCCACCACGAGTACCTGTGTCTGTGCACTTTTAAAGCTCTAACCCTATGGACATGCAAACACTCCTTGGGAAGCATCTCATGGGGGCTGCTGACCTGAGTGACCTCAGTGGGCAGCTGGTGTGTGTTATAAGGAGGAGGGTCTTGGGGTGAGGCTGGCATGGCAGGAGGAGCGGTCAGTGCTGAGGACTGTTTTCTTCTTCCTTGCCTAGCCATGAGCAGGGCAGGGCGGGGGAAGCCTGCATCTCCTGGTCTCAGAGGGATGAGGGCATTTTGCCCTCAGAACCTGCCCTCCCCTGCCATTAAGCTCAAATCTAAGAGGCCCCACCTCAGTCGAGAAGGGCGGGGCACCCTGGAGTGGGCATTTTGTTCCAGATTTTATTCCTGATTTTGTAGTCAGCTTTCTGCCAGTCTTGCTGTTTCTACATGTTCTGCCCCACTGGTGATGGATTCTGTTCTTTGGGGCCTGGGATCTCACAGGCAGCAGAACAGACCTTTTCTCCCTAGGAGACCCCAGAGGCGTCTGCCAACCTCCCTGCCTGCTCCTCCCACCCCCTCGTCCTCCCTCTGCCTGCAGACACTCCCTCAGAGCCGTGGTGGGAGCCATGCCAGCAACTTCCTAAGCAAATGTGCTGTGTATGGGGATCCCACGAGGAGCCTGGTGGCCACGGGGCTGGGCTGGCACTGGCTCCTTTGTTGGGTACCCTGTGTGGGTGGCAGGTGCACCTGTCCTTGAAGACAGGTTGGCAGCAGATTGCCCGGTGTGCAGCCAGCCTTCTCTGACACCACAAGAGTTAAGATTCTTGGAAATATTTTAAACGAGCAGGTGGATATTTAGGAAAAGTCCTCCCCATGTTTTGAGAGATTTCCAGCTCTGGTCCCCTCTGTTTGACTCTGGCCACACCTGGCAGGCCTCTGAAGGACATGCCTCAGTGGTGCTCACTGCTCAGAGGCACAGATAAAATTGAGTGTAATAAGGGGTTGTTTCATTTCAGTCTGTTTGGCATATTTTTAGGCCTTTCTCTCCTGAGTGTGGCTTCTGACGTGTGCTGACCCAGTCCCTTGTCAAGGCTCCCCACCCCAGGTCCCATTATTAGTGGTTTGGGGGACATGGCATCAGAGGGTCCAAAAGCAGAAGGTGCCAAGGGACCCACAGCCCTAAACATCCAGATAGAACAGCTCAGCCCAGGGGGCCTCTGGGACGCATTCTCCTGTCCAGTTCACAAAGTGCGTCCCCAAAGGAGATGCCACTGGGGGGACAGCTGCCCCTCCCTGCCTTTCCTAAGGCAAGAGCACCCTGGTATGGGGGTGACATCACCAAACCCAACCCACCAGTTAGTCACATTTCCAAGGGCAGGGCCATGAGGGCGGGTCTGGAAGGCGTGGGCCCCTGACGGCAAACTGGCCGCTGAGAAACTGAGCCCGGGCCCCAGGTCAGGGGCCGTCCTGAGTGGCTCACCCTTGTACACCAGCATCGCCTGGCCCCGAGCTCCCAGCCCCCCCACTTGCCCCTGCGTACCTGAGGTGCAGCTCCAGCTGTGCATAGAGGAAGTGCAGGAACGCCCTCCGGGCCACCACCTCTGCGTGGCAGTCATTGACCACCAGCCCCTGGTCACTGAGGTGCTCACCGCTGATGCACTTGGTGCCCGAGGACAGGACAATGACCTGTGCCTGCCGCGCATCCAGGCCTGCGGACACAGACAGCGGTCAGGGCTTAGGACTGGGCCTGCAGACACAGACAGTGGTCAGTGCTTAGGGCTGGGCCTGGGGACACAGACAGTGCTCAGGGCTTAGGGCTGGGCTATCTGGGGCTTTCACTGGGCCTTGTGGATTAGTCTAGACCTAACCAGTTGAGCTGTGGGCCTGGGTGGGACACGAATCCAGGCAGGGACTGGTGTTTCTCCTCCCTTTGCAGGAGGACGTGTGATGTGAATGTGCTGCCATTATGTGCTGCACAGGGGTGGCCACAGGTGTGCTGAAACCATCCCACATTTCATAGGTTAAGTCTGACCATCTATAACAAAGACTCAAGATCAGTTGCCCATTGCTGTGCCCCCAGAGGGAGATGCCGCTTCCACGAGCCTCCTGTGCACATGCAGGTCCCAGAGGCACATGTCCAACCTCACAGCTCCTTGTGTCTGGCCAGCAGCCATCAGGACCATTCCTGGAGCCCCTGAGGATGACCCACTGCCCTGCCCTGTGGTGCAGGGAGCTCATCTCACTTGCTTGTCTCAGCTTCTCTTCCTCAGGCTGCACTAGAAGGAGCTGGAAAGATCCGACTTTTTAATTTTAGGATCATAGTAATTTCCAGTCATTCAGGGCAGAGAATGGGAAGAAAAGGGCTTTGAGATACTGGGGGACTTGGCCCTTGTGAAGACGAGCGTGCACAGATCCTCCTTGTACCATGAGAGGAGACATCGGGGCTGTGTCTAAACTGCCATGATTTACCTGAGACTTTACCAAAGTCTCAGTGAGTCCTGGATGAAGTGCAAACGGGGCATGGTGTTCAAACGCCAGCTTGTCTGCTCCACGTGATGGCGTGGACAGCACTATTGGGCGGTAGAGAACCCTGACTGTGGGCACTGAGAAGGATCTGAGTCTCATCAGTTATGATGATGTAAGAATAAGTTTGTAGCTGAGAGAGGTGGCTGGTTAGGAAAAGGCTGAGGGCTGCCATCTTCCATTTGCCTTCTAAGTGTGATAGAAAATGAAGGTTTAAATATATTACCTAAAATTATATGTATTACATATCATTATAATATAAATATGATGAAAATTGGAGAAGTATCACTTTTTTTTTTGAGACAGAGTCTTACTATGTGGCCCTTGGTAGAGTGCCATGGCGCACAGCTCACAGCAACCTCCAACTCTTGGGCTTAAGCGATTCTCTTGCCTCAGCCTCCCAAGTAGCTGGGACTAGAGGCGCCTGCCACAATGCCTGGCTATTTTTTGTTGCAGTTGTCATTGTTGTTTAGCTGGCCTGGGCCGGGTTCGAACCCACCAGCCTCGGTGTATGTGGCTGGTGCCGGAACCACTGTGCTACGGGCGCTGAGGCAAGTATCACATTTTAATGAATCAATAGATATTTTCTAGAATTGAAAATCTAGAGAATTAAAAGTTTTCAGATACACCAAAAGCAAGAAATGTAAAATCTGTGTGGATGGAAACAAACGAAGCCCTCCCAGCAACACAGATAAGCCAAACAAGGTGAAACCTGGGTGGCCGACTCAGAAAGGACCTGTAGCCTGTGTCTCTGGGAAGTGAAATAATGGACTGAAGCACAGTCTTTCTCAAGACTCCTATACTGACCCATGTAGAGCCATTGTGTTTAGAGCTGAGTGGTCAGAAGAGGCTGCTTCCGGGAGCAGAGGGGCAGGAGGGAGGGGGAGACGGTTGCTTCCATTTATTTGTTCTCCCTTATTTGAATCTTTACCCGAACTACCCTATTCATAAGTTCATGTTTCTGCATTAACACTTCTCATAGTGACTAAAAAACAGTCTCTGTTTCGTAAGTGAAAAGCACTTTCCACGAGCTAATTGCTGTGAATGAGTTGGTATCCCACCTAAAATAAGGGGGGGTTTCAGGGGTCATGTTTCATCTCAGAATAGGTTAAATTTTATAACTAGAACAGGATTCGCCCTCTCAGAGTTCCCTGGCGTCTGCTTGAGTAACTGAACTAGAATGAGGGTGATTGGCGCATCTGCTTTAGGTAAATGAACATGTAAGAATACTTCTATTAGCAATTTTGCACATTTCTTCCTAATCTTTTAAAAATGGATATGTTTATCAAATCTTCCAGTTATAATGGGAAAGTAAAGTTATCAATTTATTCTTCAGTGTTCATGACTCAGCAACTGACCAGGCATCACCTGTGGGGTCTCATCTCACATGGTGCACTCAGGCCACCCAGGTGAGCCGCCCACACACGCACAGCTCACCACCCCCCAGGATGGCCTCGTCCTGCCAGCGTTGGAAAACCTGCTGTTCTCCAGGTAAGGTCTGGGAGCAGCTTTCAAACTCGCCTTAGCTGAGTTTCCCAGAAAAGTGGAAAGATATAGGACACTCAGAGTTCCGGGGCTGGGGAACGTTGAGAGCCTGCCTGTGAGAACACACCCACTAGGGTCTGGGGTTGGAGGCAAAAGAGGCCACACTGGCTGGTGTCTCCCTCCCTCTGTCTCTCCCACTCCCTCCCTCCCTCTCTCCTCATCTCCCTCCCTCTCTCCCCCTTTCTCCTTTCTTTCCTTTGCTGACCAAGACACTAATTTGGACCAAGTTATCCTGGAATCTGTGGAAAAAATTTATGTACACTCCAAGTTTTAAAATTTACCACAGTTTTGTTTACGTGTTCCTACATCTGTGCACATGTAACTTTCGCAGTTCTTTTTATACCCTATTTAAATTGCTCCTGATGCCCCATTCCCCACCAGGAGATAAAACTCACAAGGCAGGCACTTGGTCTGTTTCATTCTCTCCTGTTTCCCAGGGACTTAGCACAGCAGGCACAGTGAATGACTTGTGAATACAACAGTGCATCACTGACTGACACGTGGCACCACCAGGGACAGGGGTGGACTCAGAGCTCAGTGTCCACCAACCCATTTAACTTCAGAGTCACCCTATTAGGGTGGCACCACTGATCTTCCCACTTTAAAGGTGAGAAAACTGAGTCCCAGACAGGCTGAGTGCGTGTAATTTCACCCTTAGAGTGGTTCTCAAACTTCCCCTCACTCACCAGCCGTGCTGCAGGGAGCATCTCTGTTCCCATTCCGCCAAGGTGCCCACCCTGACAGGCCAGGTCACACCTGCCTGAGCTTGTCCAAGTCTGGGTCCAGAGACAGTGAAACCATTCCGCTCATGGGGTCTCTACTGGGCTTTCTAACATGCTTTTGGATGTCAGGTAGATGGTCTTTTTCATGCCTAGATTTTGTCTACATGTGCACAGCAAGTGTGTGTGAAACTTAACCCAAAAGTCAACTATGGTTTTACACAATCATATTCTAGCCGGTCATGACATACTCATGAAAAACTCTGGGGCTATGAACAGCTGATCAAACAACCAGCTGGTTCGTCACTGGTCAGGTTAGTATCAGATGTCCCCATGGCACTGATTGGCCAAACCCAGCCATCGTCCACCCACCCTGCTCAGTGACAAGGCTGCCTGCTCGATCTTGATGTGGGGCGTTGCCTTTCTGGGGATCACTCTGGTTTCCCAGAACAGCCCTCCCTGTGAATAGTGAAGTGGGAACCTTGGCAGAGGGAGGGCATTTGTGGGTTCACACCCCAGCGAGGGGGCTTAGCACTCCCAAACGGCTGAGCTTCCCTGGGTGGCCGGCCGGGCCCCTCCAGCTCCCACCATGGAGTTGGAGGCATGGAAGGCGGTCACCAGTGCTCAGTGTGGGTTTCTTGGTCACACACTTTGGTCCCTGACCCCCTGCTTTCTAGTTGCTTTTCTTTGTCACGTCTTCAAGGGAAGAAGGGATCACGTGGCTCCCATGGTCAGGTAGACACTACCGTTCTTTTCTTTGGAGACGAAAGTTCCCACTGGGAAAACATGAGCCAGTTACCTCTGGTCATGACAATTCCTGCCAATGCTTTGTGGCGGGCGTGCACAGGCGTCAGGGCGAGCGTCACCTCACGGAACTTCTGCATGACCATCTGGGACACGGAGTCAGCAAATTCCTGAAAGACAAAGCAGCAGGACTCCATGACGGGCTGAGTGGGGCAGCAGTGGGTGGCAGCTTGCTGTCCTCCCTCCCATGGCCATGCCTTGCCACCACACCATACTCGTGCCTGGTCCCTCCACTGTCCCCACAGGCTCAGGAGGGAGCTTAGCACCGCACTGAACTGGGACATACTGACCTCTGCCGAACCTACCTACGGAGATGCTGCCCCTAACCCATCCACCACCTTTATGAGCAAAGACCTCCCCAAAGAAGGGGAGATTTGCAGGCTGTGGTCAGTGGGAGTCACAGAGCTGGTTCTGAGCAGCTGGCACATCTCAGGGAACCCTTGGGCTGAACTGCTGACTGCAGCTCACTCCAGCCTGTCCTCTCATCCTCCTGCACACGCACATACATGCACACATGACAACACACATGCACACATAATACGTATGCACACACGATCACAGCATGATGTCATACAAACACATTAAAACACATGTACACACAACACCACATATGGGCACATGATAACACATGTGACAACATGCAGGCACACATGTATGGGCACAAGGCACAAATACGCATGCGTGTGCATGTACAGAGACACACATGCAGATGTGCACATGAGAACATGTACACACACGAACACATATGAGCAGACAACACACACGAGCACACAAATGCACATGCACAGCACACGTATGCACACGCGTGCATGTGCACAATACCCACATGAGCACACTCCCTTTCACACGATCTGGTGCCCGGCTGTCCTAAACAGCCCTGTATCTTTGGTGAGGTGGCACATGTGTGCAGCCTGAGAGTGGCTCTGTGGCCAGCTCCTGTCTGCTCCTGGAGGTGAGGCCCCAGGGCTTTTTAGCTCCCACAGGCCCTGGAGCATGGAAGCTGGTTGGGGTCCCAGTTCTGCCACAAGGAGCATGGGCCAGTGGCTCAAAGCTGCTGAGCCCCACTTCCCTAATTTATAAGGCAGTCACTGTAACTCCCTTCGGATGGTGTCTTTGTGAGGACTGCATGCCTAGTGCAGTGCCCACACTCAGCAAGTGGCCGGCGATGCCTGTGACTGTTGTCCTTAGTCCCACTGTTATCCCCTGTCATTGTGGGCACTGACCACGTCTGTAAGGAGCCTCCTCAAACACGCAGTTAGCCACAAGGCAGGCAACATGCTCACTCTGCTGGTGGACTGGGTCTTTGAATTTCCACCAGGACATTTGATGTTACACAGTCATTACTGCTGATACAGTTGGTACGATGGGCTGCTGATAAATAAATGCAAAAGCAATAAATAGACTTTTTTAGAACCCAACTTGCAGGCAGTAAAACATGCTGTGTGAACAGGTCTGCCTCTACGAGCAGAAAACCTGCCGCCACAGAACCCAGCCGTCACCTTTCTCCTCTTGCCCTGGCTGCAGCAGCTGTGGGTCAGGTGGAGCTCATGCAGGAGAGATGCCAGGGCAGTCAGGTGGGAGAGGCTGTGTACCCGGGGTCTCCCTGGCTGGACGCCCAACCAGGCTGCTGCCAGCTGTCCTGTCCTTCTCTGTCCTGGGGCTTCAGGCCCAGAGAAGGCAGACTATGCCCTGGACACTCTCTCCAGGGGCTGCTTATGACAGCAGGGGTTTGTCCTCCCATAGTGCTGCAGCCTGGAAGTCTGAGTGAAGGCCAAGGAAGGCCCCCAGGGCTGTGCTCCCTCTGAGGGAGGCCCCTTCCTGCCCCTCCTGTCTCTCGGGGGCTCCTGGTGTGATGGACTTGAGGCTGTATCACTCCAACCTCTGCCTCCATCTCCACGTAGCTTCTCCTCTGTGTCTGTGTCTCCTCTGCTGTCTTGTGAGGACACTGTTACTGGGTTTAGGGCCCTGCCGGGCAACTCAGAATGATGGCATCTGGAGATCCTTGTCTTGACGACCTCACCACAGACTCTCTTTCCAAGCATGGTCACAGCCACCATCCGGCCCCAAGGTTCATTGCTTGTGGTTTCACCTGGTGCCGGGCTCTAGTCAGTCCCTCTGTGTTCATCTTGACCCCCCAAGACTTCTAAGAGCTTCAGTCGCAGAACCATCTAGAGTGACTTGTGGTGCTGGGCACCTGCCCCCAACGTGTGTTGTTCACAGGGTTACTGTGAATAGCACCTTTGATCCTGTTGTTTTCTAAGATAAGATTTCAAATGTCCAAGACGTGACAAGAACCCCCACCTGGGGTCAGGTCCTGATGCCTGTGGGGCCCAGCCGGCAAGGAGTGACAGCACACCCAGACATGGATTTGTTCTGGACCCAGAGCCCGCTCCGCTCCTTCAGAGGTGTGCCGAGTGCCAGGCTGGGTGCCGGCCCTGTGTAGGCATTATCCCACTTAACCCTGACAAGGCAGGTGCCAACACGTATCTGCCTCCCTAACCGCTGGAGCATGTGGCAGAAGGCGGCAGAGGCAAGACCCAGCCCACAGTCTGGATCAGACACTCCCCTGAGTGGCCACAGGCCTGGGCTCTCTGGGCATGGATCGGGGCAGCCACATTGATAGCGGGTGGACCGAGTGTGTGCCGTCAGCTGCACACAGAGGACCTCGTGGTCCCTGAGCACCTTCTGGGCCACATCTAGGTGCTCTGCCACCTTCCCCTGTGGGGTTGCTTGAGGAGAGGCTGAGGAACAGTTATGTTTGGGTTGGATTTTGGTGTTCCCACAGATGAAGCTGGTTGGCCGTGGGTGTCAGGTGTGTCATGATGCTCAGGCTTCTCCAAGAGAGACCAGGATCCCCAGCTGGCAGAGATAGCCTTGGGCCACGCAGAGCAGGTGGTGACCTTGCTGGCTGGTCCCTCTGTTTAAGAAAACCTCCTCTCCTACAAAACAACTTCTTCTTCTTCTTTCTCTTCGTCCTTCTTTTTTTGAGATAGAGTCTCATTATGTCACCCTCAGTAGAGTGCTATGGCATCATAGCTCAAACCAACCTCAAACTCTTGGGTTTAAGCAATTCTCTTGTCTCAGCCTCCCAAGAAGCTGGGACTATAGGAGTTTGCCATAATGCCCAGCTATTTTTTGGTTGTAGTTGTCATTGTTGTTTAGCAGGCCTGGGCTGGGTTCGAACCTGCCAGCCTTGGTGTATGTGGCTGATGCTGTGACCACTGTATTATGGGCATGGAGCCATTTTTTATTAACAGGTCCTTGACATTTATATTAAGTGCATTTTTAATTTAATATTTTATAAAGGTGAATGAAAGAAAGAAAAAAAACACATCCTCTTGGGTGAAGGGCTCAACTACAACTTGAACTTTATCTTAGAAATGAAAACAATGTAACCTAAACATTTGTATCCTCATATTAATCAGAATATTCCTCAACTTCATTTACTTTAAGTGGTGAACTAATGAACATGTGGAGGGATTTCCAGGTAGCTGGCTGGACTTGGCTTCTCAGATGTGTAGCTGGTGCGACGTCCTGAGGCTGCTGTGACCAGTTTCCTCTGCTGAGACTGTCAGGTGGGACTCTCACCTCCAGGGACAGGCTGCCCCCGACTCACTGACCCCTGAGCAGTGGCCTCAGGACAGCGGGCTGAGCTCCTCACAGGTGATCCTCAAACCCTCCTGAGCGTCCAGATGCTTCTCACAGGCCCTCCTCCCATCACCTGGTTTGTGGGTGTTGTTGGCAGCTGTTTAGGCTGTCCAGGGTCCCCGGGCACTGGCGCAAGTCCAGGTCCCTTAGGACTAGGACAAGTCCAGGGGTCCCTGGGGCACCAGAGTTAATCTAGGGGGTCCCGGGGCACCAGTGTGAGTCCAGGGGTTCTGGGGCACCAGTGCAAGTCCAGGGGTCCCCAGGGTAGCAGCGTTGGTTCAGGGGTCCCTGAGGCACTGATACGAGTCCAGGGTCCCTCAGCACAGGCACAAGTGGACTTCCCTTCCCCAAGGGCTCAGATGTCACCAGGACCGAACTCTCCTGAGAGCACTGTTAGTCCCCCCTGCCCCATCTGTGAACAGCCACCCACTTTATAGCTGTGGAGGCTGAGGGTTAGAGCGGCTTGGTGATCTGGCACAGTTGTGAAGCCGCAGTAGAGGCAGGATGGACCTGCGGGGCCTGAACTCTGAGTTGTGGCCCATTTCACTGTGCACCATCTGAGCTCCTCTGGCCCCGAGTCCCAGAGAGCGGATTGGACCCTGTACTGCAAATCCTCAAGATTAAAACTAAGCTCAGCTCTGGGCCTAAGGGGACGCCCAGAGGGAACCCAGCAGGAGAGCCTCAGATAGCAGGATGTCTGAAGGACAGGGGAGGGACAGGAGGGCTGGGGAGCAGGCAGGGGAGATGGTTCTGTGCAGTGTAAACCCTCCGCAGAGACATCCACTGCTCCCATTGCAGTGGGCTATTCAGCCACGCAGGAAACACCAACGGAAGGCGCCCCTGGCAGCATGGAGGTGTCATATGACGTCCCTGGTCACCACGGCCTCAGGGAAGAGCTCACTGTGGGAGACACTCATTCAGCAGCACACCCTCTCCTGGGTAGGGCCATGCTGGTGGCCAAGATTGGGAGGCATGGGTGTTAACTCCAAGGTGACGCTCCCGCCCCTGCCCTGACCTGGTGGGCAAGTTGGAGATACCAGGCTTGGCATTTTAACACACAGACTGGCACCAGCTAAGAGGAGGGAGGGTCTGACTTCTTGGTAGGTGAGGGTGGTGGCCAGGGTCCCCTGAGGGTCAGGTGGGGCTGGCCCCCTCTCAATGGGCTGTGTGCTTCTGCGCCCAACAGAGAAGCTGGACAGAGCCCACACCAGCACCTGCTATCTGTTGCCTGAGTTTTGCCCATAGGCTCCTATTACCATAGAAAGTTATCAGCATTATTCAAATCAGAAAAATGGGCTTTAATGGGAGCGTTGCAAGGCTGGAGGCTCACCAGCTTGCAGTGCTGATATTCTGAATGGCAGAAATAAACAAACGTGCTCAAATTCCCAACAGTGGCCCTCGAGGTGGAGCTGACATTCAGCCAAAGTGGTGGGGATATTAGAATCGATAGATTATGAAGGAA